CTAAACTCTCATCAAAGAACCTCTTTTCCCCAGTACATGAAGAATATTCAGGAATCCAAAACAAACCAAATTACAGGATCATATAATTGTAGCATGTCCAATACCAGTTGTTGCATCTTAAATACAACCAACACACCCAAGGCTAGGGTGCCATCACGGAAAAGGGGACAAAAATTATAAAACCTATAGAGCTTGTTCCCTGCTGCAAGATAATGTCTACTAGAAGTGACAGGGAAGGAGCATCCATAAGCTTTCAATGTCTAAAGGTATTTATAAAATAAAAATGAGTTACATGCTAAGTGTTTTGCCTACACATTCATAAATTGACCAACACAGGCTTGCCTGTTGCACATGGAGGCCAAAAACAGTTCTTCTATGGGGAAGGAATGTGAATCCCCTGCAAGAGCAGCAAATTCTTGTAACCCCTTAATGAGCTATTTCTCCATTCCCATTAATAATTTTTATATATTAGCAGTTATGTGTGATTGTGTATAGATGATACAATACTAAAAAATGACTTGTGAGAGGGGAAAATGGAGACCTTAAGGGAGTGATGTAGAAGGAAGAATACGTATTATTATTAAAGTGCATGAGGGATTACTGAGATGCAGAGGGTTAAAGCAGAAGTGCTGGGCAGAATGGTGGGGGTAAAAATGGTGTTGAACAGATGGTTAACAAACTAAGTAAAAAATGAAGATGCCACCAGGAATCCAACTACCTAGCCAGCTAATATAAATAAGAATAGCTTTTCTTTTAAATTCAGAAAAAAATTTAAAAAGGAAATCCTCTCTTAAACGGAGAATTACCATATGACTAAATGCATATTTATTATGGTCTGAAAGTAGAAAACCTATCCATCAATGGCTAAGTAAATAACCATGTCATATTTGTACAGTGCCATATTATTTGTAAACAAAAATACAATTATTGTTATATAGAACTATATAGACATGCCTTAAAAACATGCTAAAGACAGAAGCCAGCAATAAAGAGCTCATACTCACATGAAAGATCAAGAATAGGAAGAGCTGAAAGGCCTAAAGTACAGTGGAATTACTTGTGGATGGTTGGAGATGAGAGTACGTGTGAATAGGCAGAGGAATTCTTTGAGGGACAGTGGGTTCTAAAAGGCAATGTAAATGTTTTGAATGACATTGAAAATACTAAAGCTATTTAATTATACTTATGTAAGTGAATTTTACAGTTCTTCAATATGAGTGAATTTAAACTTGAGCCCACCATACAACCAGTTTTGCTTCTCATGTCAACCAAAACATAGCAAATAGATGCATCATTCTTGGAGTAATTGAAACCAATTATGAAGTAAAATGTGTTTGTTGTATATAACCTGAGGAGGTAGCACTGTCCTGCATATATCCTTAGATTCTACTTACTATTTCCACACACAGTGACAAAAAATAATCATCTTTAAGAACCCAACAAAAGTTAGACCAATAAAGATAAAGATTCCCTTGGGCTGAAAGTTTGCATTTTATGTTTATGTATAGAAAACTCCATCAAATTTAAGACTTCAAAGTCTATAAAATTATCTACTACAAGGAAGTAATTATAAATGCCATCTATGGCCTCATGGTTAATAGTGAACTTATACAACATGGAATTATAAAATACTCTCTTACATATAAGAAGATAGTTTGGATAATGGTGGTAGGTAAAATTAACAATTTTATAGAGAGGTAAGAAGACAAAATGAGTGAACAGAAATGGAAACATGGACTATTCTATTGGCATAAGGAAGCCTTAAACATGCCATCTGCTTGACGTATTCTAGACCTTTTCACATATTGTCACACATCAGAAGTTGTATGATAAAGGTTAAAGTTTTCAAGAAAGTTGTATATCTTCCTCAAGTTGTTTTCCAAGTAGTCATTCATATGGAATTGAGGTGCTATCCTTGGAAGCCTTCCAGTGTGAGTGGTTTTGTATGGTCTCATCTGCTTAAATACTACTGTTGGATGGGCTAGAGAGATGGCTCAACAGTCAAAAGCAGGGCTCACAATCAAAAATATATAACCTTGTGTAATTTTTTGTTGTGCGAGACACTTTAAGTCATTAACAATCAGAATAATGTCTTAAATTTGGAGTGGTTTTGTAGTTACAGTCCTTCACTTTCCACCTAACAGATTGTGCTTCCAGCCAAACAGAAGCTCTGTTCGACATCTGATGGTGCAAATGAGCATGCACCTTTACATATATTTTACTTCCTTTTCCATATATTTTACTTCTTATTTCTTTGTTTTATTGGCTATTCTCATATAAATTCTGCCTTCTCCTAAGTGTGTGAAAAAGTGATCAGTGACTATAATTGGTCTCCACTAGAGATTCCTGAGGTAAATTGGTTCTTGAAAGGTCCTGGGTATTTACTTTATCATTAGTGAGTTATAGAGGAACTGGACTCCTCTGGGATACAGGGCCCATAAGGGCCAGGGATAGCAGCAGGAGAATATGAGTCGGGATGATGCAGATAGGTGATGAGCACAGAAGCTGCTAGATGCTGCTCACACAAATAAAATGAAGATGATCAGGATCTTGAACCAGAAACTATGACTCAGCCTTGGTGAGCTTTTTACAATCAAGAAAACAAGCATGTGTCTTGCTATGAACCCATATGAATCTCCAGTGTGATGCGGGACAGTTTTACAGGTATGATAACATTCTTCTTTTCTCTGTCTCCAAGATTTCAGCACACTATGCAAGTATTTGTTTCACGGTCATCATGTAACAATTTTCATATTGACATGCCTATAACAATTACTCATTATATCCTTTTTCAGCCAATACCTTACCATTTCAACACAAGAGCATCCCTAGGAGACGTAGCTCATTGCTGTAGTTTACTATACTTTCACCTGTGGAGTCTTCACAAAATCTATACAATGTCCACCACAAGATCCTGATTCATTTTATTCATACAAGTTCACAAATTTTCATGCTACTGGTATTATTGTATGTAACTGTGCCTAAGAGAGTGAAATTGATATCATCTATGTGTTTATATAAATATACAATGACAACTCTTCAATCAAACTCTGAATCTACAAAATCCACAATGATTTTCAGTTGTACTAAATTTTAGAGGCATGCCCCTTGTGATTTTTATATGCTGTTTCATTAGAGAACTGAGGGCTTACTATGTAAAGAAGGCATGAAGTTCTTGGGCTCATAAGTGGTAACTGTGGATGGTGATTTCTCTGGAATCTGATGTTTTCACACATGCATAAATAATACAAAGTTTCTATTAATTTACAGGAGAAGCAGAAACAGGACATGGTGACACATGCCCATTACTTCAGTGAAAGTTTTGGATACATAAAGAGTATCTTTTAAAATGGTGCATGATATTTTCCTACATGATATACCTTCCTTTGTGCTAGTTTCTAATGCACAGTGTGTGAATGTGCAAACTCTGAATTCAGCTGAATTAAACTTTCTAAGTCTGTGAAGGTGCAAACAGTCAGCCTTAGTTGAAGCACTCTAAGACAATTGCTAAAATCTCTTGATATTTCTCCTGTATTCTTAGCTTTGAGACATGTGATTGATTCATTATTCAGTGTTGTCCATAATCATTGTTGGGGGGGGAGGCATGAAGTGTACATGTTACTAGGATACACTACATCATAACTGGTGCTGACCCTAGTTGGAGATACAGAATAATTGTAAATAAGCAAACAGAATGAACGTATGTGACTTTTCCAGCATATAGTTTACAATTGAGAGTAAGACTTAGGTTGATGAAAAATATGTCCATGAAATATGTTTAGGACGCTAGGGAACCTGACTGAATGTCTCAGTATACAGAGACAGATTAAATTTAGTTGTGTGTATAATAAGCAATATGTCTGGCATATGAGAATGACCAGATGAAAGAGAAACACAGAGGGGGAAATGACAGGCAATAGAAAGAGCAACTCTAAAATATTGAAGAAGAAGAAGAGATTTACCAAAGCACTAATGATGAGAAAAAAGCATGTGAGAATGTATGATGATATAACCCTGGCACCTGTGAGATAATGAAACATAATTTGTGTCCCTGTTAGGAGCTTTGTCTCTACCCTCAAAACAACAGTGGTAATCTGAAAAATGAACCAGAAAAGATGTGTAGGACTTCCTCTGTTAGAATACCATAATGTAAATGAAGCATATTGAAGGAGAAAAGATGGCCCAGGAGACATGAAGACATGGATATGAGATGGGTCTGCTTCTGTATTCCAGTAAGACAAGATGTAATCCTCATATATTGATACAATCTCATAGAAAGGAATGGATGAAATTAGAGAAGATTGGAAGAGAGACTCTGAATAATGCATGACAGCAGTTCAATGTAAGAGAAAAAGAATAAATGGAATTCATATAGCTTTAACTCAAAACTCCATTTCTTTTTTATACTATGGCAGGGAGGAGAGGTAGGAGATGGAGGAAAGCTTTGGTAGACAATAAAGTGAAGACACACATTTCACTTGGTGATTTTAAGCTTCTGATGAGTATCATACATTCAATGGATGGAACATAATTTAGTTAACAGAAATATGCATGTTATAAGGACATAGGTGTCTGATTTTGAAATGGTAATATAATGCTTTGGAGTATGAAAGTTTGCCTTGAAATTTATATAAAAATATGATGACAAAGGTCATACAAATTCTTCAAGAACATCAATACACAAAATAAAATAGAACAATTACAAATGAACACACTAGTTACCCAGGATGGGCAGGAATTAGGATAGAAAACCATTAGTCCATTTTGTTTCTGTGGAGAAATATCAGAGAACTGTCTACAAAAGGATGGAATATAGAAACCAGTTAAAGATAAGTTGAGAAAAGCAAATGATTGTAATGATTACAGCTACTTGAAGTTTGAGATTATAATTACTATAATTGTTTGTCAGATTAGTCGCTGTAAAATATATAACCTAGATATATGTTTGATTTATTTTGAATTTAAGAGTCAATAATTTCTCATTGGGATACTGTAGAAGGATGATAATGGACAACCAAACAGTCATCACCCAGTTCCTCCTCCTGGGACTGCCCATCCCCCCAGAGCACCAGCACCTATTCTACACCCTGCTCCTGGCCATGTACCTCACCACCGTCCTGGGAAACCTCATCATCATCATCCTCATAATACTGGACTCTCATCTCCACACACCCATGTACTTGTTTCTCAGCAACTTGTCCTTCTCTGACCTCTGCTTTTCCTCTGTCACAATGCCCAAGTTGCTGCAGAACATGCTGAGCCAGGACACATCCATCACTTATGTAGGTTGTCTGACACAAATGTACTTTTTAATGGTTTTTGGAGATATGGAGAGCTTTCTTCTTGTTGTCATGGCCTATGACCGCTATGTGGCCATCTGCTTCCCTCTGCATTACAACAGCATCATGAGTCCCAAGCTCTGTGTGTGTCTGGTGCTGCTGTCTTGGGTGATTACCATGCTGTATTCCATGTTGCACACTCTGCTCTTGGCTAGATTGTCATTCTGTGAGGACAATGTAATCCCCCATTTTTTCTGTGACATATCTGCCCTGCTCAAGTTGGCATGCTCTGATATTTATATAAATGAACTTATGATATTTATCTTGGGAGGACTTGTCATTGTCATCCCATTCTTACTCATTGTTGTGTCGTACATACAAATTGTCTTCTCCATTCTAACAATTTCACCTACTAGGTTTATGAACAAGATCTTCTCCACTTGTGGCTCCCACCTGTCTGTGGTCTCACTGTTCTATGGGACAATTATTGGTCTCTACTTATGTCCATCAGCTAATAACTCTACTCTGACAAAGATTGCCATGGCCATGATGTACACAGTGGTGACTCCCATGCTAAATCCCTTCATCTACAGCCTGAGGAACAGAGATATGAAAGAGGCCCTGATCAGAGTCCTTTGCAAGAAGAAAATCTCTTTATAATGACAACACAGAGATTTTTACTTAAATTTATCTTATTAAAATATTGATACTAATATTACCTAGTGCATCCCTACTAGAGGACCCACTTACAATAATATTCTACATAATATTCCCATTTGCAAAACTGTTTCTACTGTTCTTAGTCCCACAAAATACTAATCTCACAGCCCTAATGTATAGGCATTGTAACTGATACAGAGTCCTGCAGGCCCCATGCTTGTCTTTTCAGACTTTGGGATCTCTGAGAACCATTGTTTAGTTGATTTGGTGGGAGCCCATTCTCCTAGTATCCTTCATCCCTCTGATACCTACCATCTTTCCTCCTGCTCTCCCATGGGGTTCGTCCATCACTAAGGGGAGGGACTCAGTGGAGATCTGAAAATTAAACTCTTTATCTGTATAATGTTTGACTGATGGTCTCAATGTCTGCTCCCATCTGTTGCCAGAAGAATTGTTTTTTGATTGTTTTTAATACCTAGACAAGACACCAAACTATGAGTATAACAGAATATCATAAGAGTCATTTAATTGATATTTTTCAGTCAGGTTTGGCTCTATCCTAGACCTCTCCTTATTCTGTCTCTGGTTTCTGGGATCCCTCTTGTAGAGAGGGCTTCAAGTTAAATCAAACACTAGCTGACCAAGGCAGGAAGAATCCCAGTGCCAGGATTAATTAATATTGTTTACTACAGTGGACAGCTCCTGTAACAGAAGCAGGCTGAAGAGATGTTGTGGTGCTGCCATTTTGAAAGGAGCTGCCATTTTGGACAGCTCCTGTCCCACATTTTACTGTGGCATTAGGAAGGGAGGGCCTGCCCACATTTTGATGGCTTTTTGTGTCACAAGCCATAATAGGACAAGCTAATAATTAGCAGTTGATCATCCTGAAATGCTTGCCTTCAATTATTATCTGCGACAAGTGTGCCACATTAGCAAGGCTATGTTGGACATATTTTAGGAAAGATCCTGCTATTAATATGCTTTTCCTATTATTATTAAACATATATAACAATCACTAAGCACTAGCACTCCCCTTTGGAGCAGATCTCTGCAGACCCACGAA